TTTTTTTTTTTGAGACAGGGTTTCTCCATAGCTTTTTGGTTCCTGTCCTGGAACTAGCTCTTGTAGACCAGGCTGGCCTCGAACTCACAGAGATCTGCCTGCCCCTGCCTCCCGAGTGCTGGGATTAAAGGCGTGCGCCACTACCGCCCGGCCCAAAACGAGTTTTTAAAAATGTATAAAGAGAATAAATAAAAAAAGACCCACCAATCAATAGTAACAGGCAAGAGTGTCCATCAGTTTAACAGACCTGGACATAGAAGTAGTTCTTAATAATATTCAGCTTTATTGTTACTGGGAATGAAACTAAGCTAGGTGGCATATTCCTATAATCTTATCACTTAGAGGCAGAGGCAGGAGGATCACAATGGTTTTATGTTGGCCTGGGCTATCTAGTGAGACCCTGTATCAGAAGAAGAAAAAAAAACAAGACAGGAGAGATGGCTCAGCATTAAGAGCATTTGTGTTACTCCAGTCCCAAGGCATTGATGGGGAAGCTCTGTCAACCAATCACATCTAGTTAAGGCTAGGCTACCTGGAGCCCAGGAAGAAAAACTGGGAGGACCCAGATGTGCTCGCTCTCACACGCCCTCTCTCTGCAGATAGGAAGTCGGACCTCCCACTTTTGTAGCGTGAGTTTCCCCTTATAAACATTAAAATATAATTGTTATTCTTGAGCTGGCCTGGTTATTTATCGTACCAACTTAATTCGCAACAGGGCATCCCAATCCCTCTTCTGGTCTCTATAGGCACCATGCATGCACATGGTGTAAGACATACATTCAAGAAAATACTACTACTACTACTACTACTACTACTAAATAGACAACGAGTGCTATTAGGAAAAAATTAATAGAAAGGAACTTAGAACCACTGTTTAATCAGATTGACCAAGATAAAGATGAAGATCTATGGAGGCATTCGCTGCTAGGCATATGAATGGGTAAAATTACTTCAGAGGATTTTAGTAGAAACTAAAGAAGTTTTAAAATGCAGAGCCAGATGTGGTTTATAATTGGTTTGCATTGTTTCTAATAGCAGAGGCTTGAAACCCAATTTTTCCATCAGTATCTAGGGCCATAGATCACTCTGGAGTTATATGAGTTGCCAAAACATAATTTAATACAAGCAGAGTCTGAAATGTGCCCTTCCCATTTCACATCTGTTTACATAGCCTAGCTAGTAGTAGAGTGTCCTGCACACACATACAGAGGCTTTGGTTACAGTTAAAAGTAAGTATGTTGTATTCATGTAATGGATTACGATGCCTTTGTTAAAAAGAATAAGGCCTGTATGTATAGGCTTCTGGAAAGAAGGTGGCATAAACCTTAGAATAGCACACCTTCATTTGTGCCTTAAATACACGTCTATCTGCTTATCCATACATAGAGAATAGCCTGGAAAGGCCACCCTTCAGTAGGTGATTCCCTATGAGACAAACTATTGGGGAAGAATTCTAATGGGAAATTATTTCCAATTGTTCACTATTGAAGTCTTTGAGTTCCATGGCACTTGGCACATTAATTTGAAAATATACATAGAGTTTTTTGAGATAGGGTAGCTGTCACTATGTAATTCAGGCTGCACTTGAATTTAGGATTATCCTTCTGTCTCAGCCTCCTGGGTGCTGGGATTATGGCTGTGCTTCACTTTGTCTAGAAAAAGTTTGTGGGGTGATGGTGTTGGTATTTGAGACAGGATCTCACTGTGTAGCCTTGGCTATCTTGGAAGGCACTTTGTAGACCAGGTTGGCCTTAAATCCTAGAGATCTGCCTGCCTCAACTTCTTTTGTGCTAGAATAAAAGCCATGTGCACTATAATTCATGAATGAATTTTTTAAGAAAATGGTAGAAGTTATGATGGACTCTCTATAGACAAGGGAATATAGGTCATGTTACACACAAAGAATAACCCTCTACTCTAGGCTGAGTATCCACTGGGAAATAGTCTCAAGTAAAATGAACTCACATGTATTGCTTGTGGTCACACAATTAGATACAACTTTTTTCAAGAGCAGTGTGCCAATGCCACCATAATTTAAATCACATGCTTTGATCGACAGTAGTTCTCAGACTTTTATTCTACACATGCACTAGCACATGTAGAGTGGATTTATGTGTAAGGTCAGGAGTCATGGCATTGATTGGAGTGGCACAAAGCTTATTTATAGACAAGAACTCTTGTAGTTACTTCTGGCTCATTTAGTAATAGAATACTTTCCGAGGGGCTGGGCAAGCCTCATACAAAGTCATGTAAATATACTTCCAAGGTAGCTTGCTAAGTAAGAGTAGGGTGCTGAAACTTGCCATGTGCTGCCATTGTGGTCAAATGGCACTGATCTGTCAGAAGCTAGGAGCAGTGGTTATTTTCAGAGTTGAGTCTGGGTTGAGGACAGTCAGTGTGTACACACTTATTTCTCTTTAATTTTTCACTTCCTGCACATATGTGGGAGTCAGAGGACAACTCTGGGGGCGGGGGATGAGATAGGGTGTCTGTTCTTCTCTTGTACCATAGAGATCCCAGGCATCAAACTGGGGATTGAACTCTGGTGGTCCGGCTGGATGGAAGAGCCTTAATAGCTGAGCCAGTTCATGCAACCTGGCTTGCTCTCTTGAGTAATTCAGAAAATCGAATGTTACTCCCTGCTCCCTAACCCTGCTTTTTCCTCAGCAACTCTTTCCACTACTTAGACTTTTAAGTTTGTTATATGATTATTTTGCTTGGTTTTTGTCTTATTTGTTTTTGTTTTCCAAGACAAGTTTTCTCTGTGTAGCCCTGACTGTCCTGGAACTCACTCTGTAGACCAAGCTGGCCTCTAACTCGGAGATCTACCTGCCTCTGCCTCACAAGTGCTGGGATTAAAGGCATGTGCCACCATTCCCTAGCTACTTGTTTGGTTTTTGTGTCTCCCTCTCTGATCAGGACTCTTGTTTGTTTGTTTTTTTCTGTTGTACCCCTAGGGCTTAGACAGTGCTTGATTTATGGCTTACTTACATTCAGTAAATGTTTTCCGAATGAAATAAATGTTTTAAATAAAATATCCTACTCTGTTTTCTTTTCACTTTATTTTATGGAGATATGATCTTTGTTTACAAAAGTTTTATTTTTTCTTGTAAGTTCCAGGTAGTCAAATGTATTGTTTTTTTTTTTTTTTTTGCTTTGTTTTTACATTGTTCTTAAGAATACTTTCTTTCAAAGCTAGGTGTTGGTGGCACACGCCTTTAATCCCAGAACTCTGGAGGCCGAGGCAGGCAGATCTCTGCCAGACTGGTCTACAAGAGCAAGTTCCAGGATAGACTCCAAAGCTACAGAGAAACCCTGTCTTAAAAAAGCCAAAGGAAGGAAGGAAAGAAGGAATGAATAAAAAAATACTTCCTTTCTGGTCATTTGAAATTTTCTGGGCTTTTTGTTATTGTTGTTGTTTTTGTTTGGGGTCAGGGTTTTTCTGTGTAGTCTAGGCTGTCCTAGAACCAACCTGGCCTCAAACTCAAGAGATCCACTTACTGAGTGCTGGGATTAAAGCTGTGCTTCACCAACACCCATCCTAGTTGAGATCTGTAATCAATAGAGATTATATATTATTTTGTGGAGCCTGTTTATTTTTAAAAAATAATTACCCTTAGCAGCAAATGTTTTTTCTTTATTTGGCTATTTCAGTTGTATTTTAGGCAGAGTAATTTGTGTGTGTGTGCGTGTATACTAGGGATTAAATGGAGGGCCTTACCCATTGTAGACATATCTGTCTTCCAGAATTTTTTTTTTTTTTTTTTTAGAGAAACAATGAATGGAGCCTATGCTGATTAGGAGTTAGTGGTTGTCTTAGTTATTTTTCAGTTGCTGTGACAAACACCACGGCCAAGGCAGCATGTAAAGGGAAGCATTTAATTTGGGGTAGAGTTTCAGAGGGCTAGAGTTAATGATGATGGGGCAAAAGCATGGCAGCAGGAACAGCTGAGATCCACATCTTGATGGTTTCAGAGCTTTGGTTCATTACCTTCATGCTGTGACATGGTGGTGTGGGCAGCCGTGCCTCTGGAGATGGATCTGAGAGTCCCACATCTTGACCCGCAGGCAACAGGAAGTGGTCTGTCCCACTGGGCATGGCTTGAGCACATATGAGACCTCAAAGCCCACCTCCACAGTCACACACTTACTCTAACAACAGTACGCCCTCTCAACAAAGCCACACCTCCTAATGGTGCCACTTCCTCTGGGGACCATTTTCTTTCAAACCATCACAGTGGTTTTTGTTATTTTCTACCTCAAAGTGCTTTCTGTTTGTAACTGCTCTTCTACAGGATAACACACTGCTTTTCATCCGATAGCAGTATGGTTGTTGGAAAGTTACTAAAAACACTGGCCTGTGGATTTGTTTCTAACTAGGGAAGTACACTGGCAGCTGATGAGACACTCCAGTGTTTGCAGCCTCGCAGGCTTCAGAAGAACAAAGGCATATTGTGCAGGCCAGGCACACAGACCAAAGCTACCTCTTGCAGACCACACACCCACCATGTTTCATGCCAGACAGGTAAGTGTCCTGGCACCTTGTATAAGGTTTGCTTTCTGATTTTTTTTTTTAATAAAAAGGTAAAGACAGTAATTCTTGAGTGTGAAATGTTAGCATGCTACAAATCCATATGCACATAAAATACTGTGTGTAGAGCTAAGCATTTCACACATGTACATGCTCTCTCAAATGTGTAGATAAGCCGTTATAATTACTGACATACATATTTGCTTAAAATAATTTGTGATTGAGCCTTAGTTCTTTCTCTTTCTCGCTCTCTTTTTAAACGCTGCATTTAATTATTCAATTGTCAGTTGTTGAGAGAACAGATAATGCTCTGGTGTGTTGGTGGTAGAAAATGTGAACTCTTGCATGGGAAGCTGTAAAGCATTGCTCCAGTCAGTGGTAGTGCCTTACTCCGTATTCCTATGTTTTCAATTACTTTAGTAGCTAGCTAGCTCTGCCCAAAGTTGTGTGTGTGTCAAATTCAGAGCTTTGCGTTGATCACAGAGCTATAGCCTAGGTTCTTCCATTTTTAACAATAACCCTGTCTCACAGACTAACCAAAGGGGCTTCTGAACATTGGGGCTCCTCCACAGACCCTGGGTTAGGCCCAAACCACACCTAGACACCTATTTTCACAGAAAAACAACAGCAAATGACCTTGCAGGTGTAATTTTTAAGAGGAGAAAAAGGGGAGGCCTATGTTAGGATGGGATAGGATGTGGTGGTAAAGGAGATAGAGAATGAGAGAGAAGGGAACAAGAAAAGGGGACAGCGGTATTTGTCCTAGAGGAACAAAGGACTGCCTCTGGGGAAAGGAGAGACAGATGTGGCCCATAGGCAAATGGCAGTTTATAAAGGTAAAATGGGAATCTCTTTGTTAGGATGAAGTGTTTAATTTTAATTGGACATGTTAATTAGATGAGCCAAAGGAGGCTTCTGATTGCTGGACTTTAGTACTTTGACAGCTGGACCTTGGTAGTCAGCCTTAGGAGGAGGAAGTGGCAAACTAAGGGAGTGGACCTTGGTGACTAGTTTTAGGAATGTAACCTAAAGATTTTTAGCAAGGCAGAGGGAATGAGGGAGGAGGACAAAGCCTGCCAGAGCCATGCTCACCATGCTCAAGCTGGCCAGGTCCCTTCCCTAACCTGTGTGTAAAACGCCCAGTCTGGAGCTGGGTGTGGTGAGGTTACTGTACTCCCAGCTGTTTGGGGGACTGAGGCAGGAAATCTTGAGTTCAAGGCTAGCTTGGGCCGCACACCAAGAGCCTGTCTCTAAATACATAGATAAAGCTTACTCACTAAAAGTAATCATTGATATTTTACATAGGGTGCCTTTCCTTTGGTAGGAGTCAAAGAGAATTCTTGAGCAAATTTGATCATCTTAATATTCTGTTTAAAATGATACTGTCACTGTGTGCATCAACTTCTGTACACCTTCACATTTAAAAAGTAGTAAAAGATCCGTGATCTGTGGACATCTGGTATGTGTGTGCTTATTTTTTTTTTTAAATTTCTGGGTTAAATATGGACTACTTTCTATGTACTGTTGTAAATGGCTTTGTCATTTGACATTGGATTGAAAATATTTTACATTGATAAAAATATACACACTGAAATTCTTCTTTGTCTACCTGTCCCCTCTCTCACTGTTTTTGTTTGTTTGTTTTTGAGATGGGTGTCTCATGTAATGTCACAGACTGATCTCAGACTGGACGTATAGCTGAGGATGACCTTAAGCTCCTGATTCTCCTGCCTTTGGCCCTGAGTGCTGGATTACAGGAGTGTGCTACCATTCCTAGCCCTACTTAGGGATTCTGTTGTATTTTATTTTGTTTGTTTTATTTTGTACTTGTCTGTACATGCTTGGGAGCATGCCACAGTGTATATGTGGAACAGCTTGTGGAAGCTGTTAGATCCATCCACCTTGTCAAGCTTGGTAGCAAGTACCTTTGCTTGCTGAGCCATCTCACTGACCCCTGCATTAAGATTCTTAAAAGAGCCTGGTGATGGTGAATCCCAGCACTCAGGAGGCCGAGGAAGGTGGATCTCTCTGAGTTTGAGGCCAGCCTGGTCTACAGAGCAAGTGCTAGGACAGCCAAGTCTACACAGAGAAGCCCTGTCTCTAACCCCCACGCTCCCAAAAAGGGCATAGATGATAGTATACACAGTACAATCAAACTCCTAAGATTGGCCTTTAGATTTTATATGTAGTATGTTGGTTTATATTGATGCCAAGGATTGGATCCAGGGTGACATCTCAGATAAAGTGCTACCACTGAACTGTTCTCTAATCCCTAAAGTTAATGTTAATCCATCTTGCTAATGGAATTTTGTTCAGGTTTTCATAACACAAGTGTTCATATTTAAATATTTCCTTCAGATTTACCTCTGCCAAATGGGGAAAACGAAGAACCTGATTCTCCACTTGCAAAGAAGAAAAGAGTGGACTTTATCCAGACTTGTGATGCAGAATATATAAAATCTGGTTTTATTATCTGTTCTGAATCAAAGGAAAGTCCACCAAGAGCACAGTGTGTCATTTGTGGAGAGATCTTACCTCAAGAAAGTGTGATGTCAGTCAGTCTCTCTAACCATTTGAAGGCAAAACACTCTGAGTTAGAGAACAAGCCAGGAGACTTTTTTGAGGAAAAATCACTTGAAATCGAATGTCAAAACAGTCCTTTAAAACAGTGTTTACTAGTTGAAGAGTCGCTTGTGAAAGCTTCTTATTTAATTGCTTTCCAAATTGCTGCCAGGAAGAAGCCGTTCTCCATTGCTGAAGAATTAATTAAACCATATTTAGTAGAAATGTGTTCAGAAGTTTTGGGTTCAAGTGCTGGAGACAAAATGAAAAACATCCCTCTTTCCAATAACACAATTGGATGCAGGATCAACAAGCTGTCTGCAGACATTGAAGAGCAGCTGGTTCAGAAGGTCAGAGAATCCCCGTGGTTTGCCCTTCAGGTAGATGAGTCAGCGGAGACCTCAGGCGGCACCCTTCTCCTCTGCTATGTTCGCTTCATCGATTATGCATGTGGGGATGTGAAAGAAGAATTGTTATTTTGTACTGAAATGTCTTCTCTGCGCACAGATCTTGAAGTGTTTGAGCTAATAGATAAATATATTGATAGTAGATCTCTGAGTTGGAGCCATTGTGTTGGTTTCTGTACTGATGGGGCCACAAGCATGACCGATAGATGTTCTCGTTTAAAGTCAAAAATTCAAGAAGTTACCAAGAATGCAGTGACATTCACACACTGTTTCATTCACCGCGAGCACTTAGCAGCAGAAAAGCTATCTCCATGCTTACATGAAATCCTTTTGCAGTCAGCACAGATTTTAAGCTTTGTAAAGAACGGTGCCTCAGATTCACAAATGTTGACGACTCTGTGTGAAGAGATGGGATCGGAGCATGTGAACTTACCACTTAATGCTGAAGTTCGCTGGCTGTCGAAAGGGAGAATTTTAACAAGATTATTTGAACTGAGACATGAAATTGAAATTCTTTTAAATCAAAGGCATTCTGATTTGGCCAGATATTTTCAAGACAAGGAATGGGTTGCAAAGCTAGCCTATTTAGCAGATATGTTTTCACTTATAAATAAGTTAAATTCTGCTCTCCAAGGGACCGTGGCTACTCTTTTCAATTTGTATAACAAAGTCGACATATTTAAGAAAAAGCTGAAAATGTGGGTGGAGCGCACACGAGAGAATGATTATGACATGTTCCCTTTGTTTTCTGAGTTCTTAGACTCCTCAGATGTGAGTGTGAGAAGCATCACTGGCGTTATTGTTGAGCACTTAGAAGGACTTGCTCAGGTTTTCCATGACTGCTACCCCCCACAAGAGGACTTACGTTTGGGAAATCTGTGGCTCGTTGATCCCTTTGCCAGTCACCAGAATAACAACCTCACTGACTCTGAAGAAGAAAAATTAGCGGCATTATCTTTGGATACGAGTCTACAGTCAGCTTATAAATCAATGTCTGTAACTCAGTTTTGGGTAAGCGCAAAGACAAACTACCCAGAACTCCATGAAAAGGCAGTGAAACTCTTGCTGCCCTTTTCCACCGTCTGTCTATGCGATGCCGCCTTTTCAGCCTTGACTGCATCAAAACAAAGGAACCTGCTGGGTTTTGGTTCTGCCCTAAGACTTGCAGTCACGTCATTAGTTCCAAGGATTGAAAAGTTGGTAAAGGAAAAAGAGTAGTATCCATAATGCTTATCGTCAGAGTTTTTAATTTTGTGTTAAATTTTGTATAAGTATCCTAAAATACATTTGCTAATGTATTTGTATTTTCAGTGATTAAATGTTTTAATAATTTTTCCTTTGTTGTAGAGGGATTTAAGAGTTATAGGACTTAAACATAATTATGTATAATTTTAATAACACAAGGGAGAAAATTTAGCCTTTATATTGGTGATTGCTCTTGGGGTTTCAAAGGAAACGTCTTGCTTAGGGAGTTCTCCAAGAGACCAGGCCAACCTGCTTGTCCCAATACATCAGTTAGAGGTAAGCATTGGTGAAGGCCAGAGAAGGACTGGGTTAGCGGAGCCAGGTTGAGGAGAACGGGTTGACTCAGTGATCCCACCTCAGCCCTTTGTTTTGAGACAGGGTCTTTCTATATAGCCTTGGCTGTCCCGGAATTCATTATGTAGACCCACTGCCTCTCCCCATCTCCCCATGCCTCCCTCCCCCAGTGCTGGGATTAAAGGTGTTGGACTCCCACCTTAGTCCTGAAGGGGCTGACAGGGACCTTGAGCTCTCATAGAAAAGGGAAATAGTCGAGGGTTGGGGTGTGCCTGACAGTGGGTCGTCTTGGTGTGGCTAGTAATCTGATTGGAGAAGTTCCCAATGTCATCACTTCGGAGGAGCAGTCTGGCTTCTCTAGGGTACAGCCTCACCGTAATGGCAGTTGCCCTCATTTCAGCCTTGCCAAGCTCCCTGTTGCTTGGAGCTAGTTTTGGTCCTTTACTGCACATTATGTTTATGGGTCAGTTCTGGGTTTCCTAGAGTTCAAGGTAATTACAGGAGAAAGTGACCTGGGAAGAAAGTGGCCAAACAGAGCTCGGGGGGATAAAAGAGACTTAAGTTAGGGCAGCCACCAGTGCTCACTCCCCTTTATGACCCAAGTGCACAGGAACCGAAGGCCCATGGCATAGTATCATGGCACAGTTTGACTGTTCAGTTTGCTTTTAAAAGATGTGAGAAGTTTTAGGCAGCCAAGCCAGTGGCCCTCAGATGTCGCGCCCCACCTCGTCCCGCAAGGATGACGCGACCACCGGAGCTCTTCTCACTGCAGTTTATTCCAGGACCTTATTCACTTTCTCTCTCTTTTTCTCTCTCCTCTCTCCTTCTTCTCTCTCTCTCTGGGTAAACCTCTCCCAGCCCTTAAGTAGGCATGGGCTGCCAATCCCGGATTGCCAGGTGGGCACTGCCCATAGGCCCATGCATATGCAGGCAGCTGATAATCATTGCGTGATCATAGCATAGGTCAGACTTTAGCCATCTCAGGAGTTGATTATACATCTCCATCAGGTGTGACACCACGCAGCTCCCTACACTCAGAAAGTTACAGTTGGGTGGAAAGCAGATCCAAGCAGGTAGGTGCCCAGCAGGAGTAGAAGCAGCAGCAGCTTTGGGAGCTCCTCTTGGACCTCTAGACCAGGACTTGGAATTTTTTTGTGGGGAGTTGGGGGAGATGAGGCTTTGCAGTGTAGTTGTTACTGGCCTATTCTTGCTGTGTAGTAAGTCCATGCTGGCAGTGAACTCTGGGCAGTCCTCAAGCTTCATCCTCGTTCCGTAATCCTATTGGGTGTGCGCCATCATGCTTGGCTGTAGCCGACGTTCATAAAAGGTCAGATAGGTATTGTGTGGCTCATCCACAGTGTACAAACGTACTGTTGGCCAACATTCCTTTATCCGTGCACACCGAGATGTTATTTTTATGTAATTTCCAAATGTGAAAATTCCTTGAATATTGTTTAGTCATTTTAAGATTATTATTAACAGTATTAATCTTTTCCATTTTGGTGTGTGTTAGAACCAAATACTCGACACCTGGCCGAACGTGGCCCTTTGTTTGCCGATCTGGATAAATACCTGAAATCTTCAAACATCTTTCACATTTTTACTTCAGTTGAGCCATGGAGAGGCAGATGTTCTAGGCACAGGTGAACAAGAAGAACTTGTAGTTACTGGTTACTGCTTGATTGAGCATTAATTGTGTGGTTCTGTGGTGTGCAAGTATCTTTCCCAAGGCCTTAAGGAAGGAAGCAAGCCCAGAGGCCAGAGGCGCACAAGGCTGGGTGGTGTCAGATTCCTCTGGCTCGGGGTGGCCCCAAGGCCAGGTCAGGCAGATCAGAACCGGACTGCTAGTTCTGGCTTACTGAGTTGTTCTCTTCTCCAGGTGGGAGGGGGTGGGACTTAAACTTCTGGCCCAGCATGCTGTCCCCAGGCCGATCTAAGAGCTGCAGAGATGGTGGGACCAAGGGGTCCAGGAGGATGAAGTGGGAGGGTGACTGAGCATGCCTCCCCATCCCACATCACCCAGTGTTCTAATTTGAGGGAGGCTAGTGAGGCAGAATTTTATTTTTTCTTTGTTTTCGAGACGGTCTCCTTACCAGGAACTCACTATAAACCATGCTGGCCTCAAACTTGCGGAGGTCCACCTGCCTCTGCCTCCCAAGTGCTGGGATTTATGGCTTGTACCACTGTAGAAATCTCCTTTTATAAGCTTAGAAACTAGTCCTGATGGTAAAATGTAATTTGCCGAAAGTTAACATACCTAGTCAAACAAGGCCCAGAGTGGGCCTAACCTAGACCCCACAGGGTCCTAGGAAATCTGGGATGGAATCCTAGAAATCACTTGGCTAGCTCCTTATCCTGAGAAAGTCCACCGATACTGCCAGGCTCTGTGGAAGACCTATGCTACCTACTCCCAAGCTTGCACACTCTTCCCTCCCCCAACCTAAGGTGGTGGGTTTTGAGGGGCAGATATGGTAAGAACCAGACAGTTTAAACTCTCTGCAAGTGTCTTACCTGAGGTGCTTGGGCCACATACTCCAGGGTAGCTGTCAGATGTAGCCCAACACAAAATTGTAAATTTAAAACAAGTGGTTTAGTGAAAATTTCATTTATGGGGTTCTGGAGCAACTATGTAGATGACATTGTGTCATGTTGTCAGAAGATTAAGATGCCCTGGAGAGCAGAGTAGAAGAGGCCTAGCTGCTGTTGGACCATAGGAAGCAGTCCGGGAAAGGTCTGGGTAAGATGGATTACGTTGGATCCCTCCTCTGTGTCTGCCTCAGTGGGACCAGGACCTGCGTAGGAGTTTGAAAATGGAAATTAGCTTCTTTCCATTCCACCTCTAAATGTTCAGTGTAAAGAGAAACCAGGCCTGGCACAAAGACTTAGTCTTTCCCGGGTTCTGGCCCTAGACGGCAAGGCCCAAGCCCTGTTCCCTTTCCTGGGATCTGAGGCTGGGTTGTCATCTGTGGAGAGGACTGGTGAGGAGAGAAAGCCGTCTCTAAACTTGCGGCTCTTTTCACTTGTGGATTGTCTGCTCCTGATTCAAAGGTCAGTCCCATGGGAGGGCCCCCTCTTCACCTGACTCAACCTAGATCTGGCCTCTACTTGTAGTGGCTTTGTTAGGGGAGCTGATGACAGGCGGAGGCTACACCTCCAGGCACTGCATCTTTGAGGAACCCAGCTGACAGGCATTCCCTGCCACTCGTAGAGAGCCTTGTTCTAGCAGTTTGCTGAGGTGTTTCATTGCAGTTTTCAGCTACCAGCCAGATCCTAGAAGCTACCAAATAGCTGTGGGCCGGCTGGAGCTGCTGGTTGTGGTTCCGCCTGTGCTACAAGAGATCAGTATCCTGCTTATGATGGGTAAGAGGGCAACTGGGGTCACCTGGGGATGATAGAAAGGTTTAGCTCTTCCTTACTGCTGCCCTCTTTTTTTTCCCTATGGGACCAGGAACACTTCTGCTCGGCCATAGCTTCCATAATACAGGGACAAGGTGTTTTTGAAATGTCACAGATCATATCCTTGTAATACAGTGACACGCTTTCCCCATCAGTTCTGTGACTGCACGGTGTCCCAGTGGGAACATGTAGCGCTACCCCGAGAGCTCACTCCTGGAGGGAGTAGGGCAGCAGCTGCCACCTAATGTATATGTATCCGGCGCAGAGGTTCTCAGCCTTCCTGACGCTGTGACCCTTTAATACAGTTCCCCATGCTGTGGTGACCCCACGCATAGAATTATTTTCATTGCTACTTCATAACTGTAATTTTGCCACTGTTATGAATCGTAATGTCAATATCTGTGCTTTCCGATGGTCTTAGGCGACCCCTGTGAAAGTGTTGTTCGACCCTAAAATGGAGTCATGTTGACAGCCTCTGATGTGGGAGCAGGCAGCAGGAAAGCTAGAGTCCCCTGACCAAAGAGGCAGAGAATGTCTCTAGAACGCACTCTGAGAAGGTCCGCTGGTAGAAGTGCCAACATACAGACAGACTGCTGCTTCCAAGGCTGGACACTGCTGTTGTGCATCCCATGGCCAGTGTTGACACTAAGTCTTTTGATTTCTAAAGCCTTCTGCACTTTCAGATTATTACCACACCTGCCTCAAGCCCCCGAGTCCCCATTTGAATCCTCCAGTAGATTTAGGATTATAAAGATTTGGGGGAAAGTTGGGTTTCCATATCCCTGCTTGACTCTCCCCTGCTCAGAGGCTTGCATTAGCTTTCGAGGCTTCTGATTCTTTGTCCTGCTTCCTGGAAGGGGTGGGGGGGGTATTTTTAATGGGAGGGCCTGGGCTGGAACCCCTGAGCTCTTGGATCTTCTGGGTGTTCATCCTTTCTGTTCTAGGGGCTGTCTTCACTTTGGTGGTCCTGGAAGAGTCGCTGAGGACCTACATTCCAACCGTTGTCTGTCTGGAGCCCCTGCTACTGCTGATACCTGCCAGGTCTTTGCTCGGACGCCTGAGCAAGAAGATCCCTGGTGCTGTCCGTGAGCCTGGCAATTGAGTCTTCATGCCGTGTGTTTACCACAGCAGGAACAGACATGGCACACTGTCTACAATTTTGTTAGGCCCATAGTCATTCAGTGTAGAAGAGATACCTTGGTTAGGTCCCAATCTCCCCTCATATCTATGCCGCCCTGTTTTAAGTGGTATATTAATATTCTTCATGTCATGTGAAAAACGGGAAATAAGCAGAAAAGAAGCTGAAACCCCTCCAAATTCTAATACCCCATAAATAACCATTTCATTTGGTGTAACTTTACCTGTTGACTTTTTCTATGATTGTAAACAGATTAATTTTTCTTTAATGAAAATGAGACAGGATAGCCTACCCTATTGTCTGCTGTTAAGATCCAATGTTCTGCCAGGCAGTGGTGGTGCATGTGTTTAATCTCAGTGCTTGGGAGGCAGAGGCCGGTAAATCTCTGTGAGTTCGAGGCCAAACTGGTCTACACAGTGAGTGCCTGGATAGCCAGGGCTATACAGAGAAATTCTGTCTGGAAAAACCAGAAATAAAAGAAAAGATCCAGTGTTCTTTAACATTCCTTTGTATTTGTATCAGGTTAGTGGCAGTGCATGGAACTGAGGATGAAAAGGTGGCTGAGGTGCTAAGAGCACTTGTTGCTTTTGCAAAGGACCAGGGTTCAGTTCCCAGCCCCCACATGGCTACTCACAACTATCCTAACTCTAGTTTCAGAGGATCTGACACCTGGCCTTCTGGAGCACCAGCCATGCACATGGCACATATATCTGTATATATGTGCATACACACACGCATGACAGTAAAACATGCACATAAAATAAAAATATTTTGCAAGGATGTGTTCAACTTATTCCACTTCCTCCTGCCCATGAAGACTATCTAGGTTGTCCCCCCTTTTTTATTGTAAAGCTCACTTCCACATATTTATTTCCTTTCCCAAGAAGTAAAGGTGCTGTCTCCACACGCATTCACATCTAAAGCATCCTTGAAAATTTGCAAGTTGGTGCTGCAGAATGCCAGTGTCTGACATCTGCCTGTGCTCATCTCAGTCCCGAGAGATTTCTTGCCGTTTCTCTATTTTACACTTGCAGAGCTGACCGCCACTTGCTGAATGGTGGGGTGTGGCTCTTAGTCCAGTGTCCTTAACACCTGAGTGGAGGGTAGGGGACAGCTAGCTCCTGGTGATGCTGAATGGCTCAGAAGTATCTAAATGGGGGGGGGGGTAGTGAGGAAGAGAGGGAGGGGGAAAACATGCATTGAAACAATGTTAGGTCACCTAGTGTCATGTCCCCAGACCTTTGCCTGAGTCCACTGGAGTCCTTTCGGGAAGTGATGTGTCTTCCCTGAGGGAAGACCATGAGGGACAGAATTTATATTTTACAGTTCTAAGTGTGAACTCTTAGCATCACTTGTGATGGGCAAACACAGTACTCCTGAGCCTGACCCCTAATAGTTCCGAGGCTAGGTCTCACTGTGGTGCTAGGCTGGCTTTGAACTTTGTTATCTTAAACAAGACTTGCACTTGAATCCTCCTGCCTCAGCCTTTCCGGTAGCTGGGATTACAGACCTGTAGCAGGGCCAGCTGGAGTTATCTGTGCATATGTTTTGGCTACCTGCCTATAAGATGCTTTGGGAAGATGTTGAAATAAGAGCGGCGGGGCTGCGTGCCCAACACCCCGGCCGCTTGGCTAGCTCATGCCCGAAATAACAACACACAAACTGTATTCATTTAACTGCTTGGCCCATGAACTCTAGCCCTTACAGGCTAATTCTTGCACCTGGACTAGCCCATTTCTAATGAAGTGTGTAAGCACCCCAAGGTGCGCTTACCGGGAAGATTCTAGCCTACATCCATCCGGAGTTGGAGGAGCTTCATTGCTTGCATCTGCCCGGGAGAGCTGAGCATGGCGTCTCTGCTCCAGAGCAGAGCTGTTGAGTCTCTCGGGAAGCAGAGCAGAGTCTGACCTCACTTCCTCTTCCACCCAGCATCCTATTCTGTTTATTCCACCCACCTATGTTCTAAGCTATGAGGCCAAGCAGTTGGTTTATTATAATTAATCAATTACCTTCCTCCATCAGGAAGATTAGCTTTGGGAGCACACACAGGTGAAAGTTGTATTAGTCCTTTTCATACTCAGTGCTGAATGGGCAGTTCCTGCTGTGCCCTCTCCTGCATGAATCCCAGGTGAGCTCATAATTCTTAGTTGGATCTTCTTGTGTCTAAAGGCACTCACAGTGATACACTCCACTTACAGCAAGGATAGAGAACTAGATCATTGGATAGTTTGTTGTGTGGTTTTCGTTTGTGTTCTGACAGAGCTTGTCTGGAGATCAGAGGGCAGAGCTAGCCACTAGTTAATCATAGAAACTGAGCAGTGGTGGCACATGTCTTTAATCCCAGCATTTGGAGGTGGAGACAAGATCTTGACCTCTTGGACTGAGACGGAGACAGGGTAGTAAACAACTGACGGCTGCTCCCAGTTCTTTGATCTTCTGATTTCCCCCCAATATCTGACTCCTGGTTTTTATTGATAAGACTAATTAGATCACATGTCAGTAGTTCATACATTATGTGACAGTGTCCCAGCATTAAGAAGGGGCTGGTATTATTTGTAATAACCAGAACCCGGAAACAACCTAGATGCCCCTCAACTGAAGAATGGATAAAAAACATGGTACATTTACACAATGGATTGCTACACTGTGGTTAAAAAAAAATGACATTTTGAAATCTGCAGGCAAATGGATGGATCTAGAAAAAGCCATATTGAGCGAGGCAACCCAGACCACCCAGAAAGACAAATATAATATGTACTCACTTAAAATGGCTTCTAGACATAAAGAAAAACCAACCCATAGTCCACAACCCCAGACAGCCTAGACAACAAAGACGACCTTAAGAGAGACATACATGGATCTACATAGGAAAGAGAAAAAGACAAGATCTGAGTACGTTATGAGCATGTGGGTCACAGGAGAGGGTAGAGGGGGAGGAAAGGAGGGAAGCTTAGAAAAATATATAGTGCAATAAAAAAAAAACATGTATGGGGACTGGTGAGATGGTTCTGGATGAGGGTGATTGCCACCAAGCCTGATGACCTGAGTTTTACCCAGGACCTACATAGTGGAAGGAGAGTACCAGCTTTGGAAGCTTGTCCTCTGACCCCCACATGCTCTGTAGTGTACACAGTCTTTCATAGGCTTTCCTTCCTGCCCTCTCTCAAAGAGGTGCAGAGATGATATAGGTTCCATGTTGATTATTTGGTCTGCTTAATGAAAACATCAAAGACCAACATTCTTTCAGCTTTCAATATGCTGGCTACTGTCTTCCGAGTCGCCAGATAGCTGCAGTTGCTCCAGGTGGCATATTTGTACATAATATCCAAGGGTGAATAGAGAGTGGAAAGCTCTCTTAGAAAACCCGAGATCACCCCTTGTATCTAATTGGCCAGAATGAAGTTATATTTCCATCTATACACCAGCCATTGATAAGGAGAATGGAATTCCAAGAATGGACTAAAATTCACCCATATTCATCACCAAGAAGGGAGGGATTAATAGCGTGTGTGTGTGTTTTCCTGTTTATTTACAGAATACAGAAAATGCAGCCTGGTGCATAGTAAGTGTTCATCAAATGCTATTATTAAATCTCTATTTGTTTTACCAATGAGAATACGGTTCTGGAAAGACTGTGTGCCTATGTGTCAGAATTGAGACTAGAACTAAGTTCTGACTGATCGCAGAACTCATTTTTTTTTTTTTTCAATGCTTCAGCTGCCAAGATGAAAATTTACAGGCACAAGACCTGGGATGACCTACCCAGCGTGATTGACCATTCCTTGCTTTCCAGAATTGGCAGCATGCATGAGCATTTTAGAGCCCATGAAAGTAGAGCCAGGAGCTCCTGGGACCCCAGTCTCATACAGTGCCTGCCCCTTCCAGGATGCCATTCCCAGCCAGGACATCAAGTGAAACCTCTTGCAGCTGGCGTTGAGGGTGCTTGTTTACCAAGGCAGATTAGTAATTACGAACTCCAAAGCATGACTGTGGGGTTGGCCCAGCACCTGTGGGAGAGGCAGGGCGCTGGAAGGCTGGATAAGCCACCTGGTTTAGAGAAGCCATTTGATTGACAGCAGCAGAAGCATCTTGAGCCCCAGCAGTGCCTTGAGGAGCCCAAGGAGCCAAGCTTCAGGAAGCCAAAGCAGAAGTCTAAGACAGCTCAGCACAGCTTCCAGCTCTTTGACCTCCTCTTGTTCCCAGAAGATACACCCGTGTCCTGGGGTCCTGGCAGTGCCCCCACAAATCCAGCATGCAGCTACTACATGTGAGTCCTTGCCTCGCTAGCTATTGGGCCCATTCTTCATGTCACGTTCCAGGACTGGCTTAGGAGAGTCTAGGATATGTGAGTGACCGATGGTATTTGGCTCAGCTTCAACCTCTTAAAGCCAGGATCCCAGAGCAAGCTGTAGCCACTAGAAGAGCAAGAGAAGGGGATGATTTGGCATGATAACCAGAAGAGGCTGAGTTTGGGAGCTAAGAGTGTAGGTAAGTGTCAGAAACAGCAAGAGGACATTGGCTTATGTGCACACCCCTTTGGGAGAGGGTGAGACTTCACCTACATATTTTTGCGTTGTATTTGGATTGCTCGTTGTGGGCGTGTGCATTCTTCTGTGCATTGCCTAGAAGGGACAGAGGCTAAGGTATGAAGTCTCTACCCAGTTCAGCCCCAAGACTCCGAGTTTTACTTGTTCTTTCATCAAATATCCCCATGGGGGTAGTTATACCTCCATTTACAGCTGCATGGACAGGCACAGGTGAGGCTGAGAAATCACTCCAGGGCCTCATGGCAAATGTGTGTGACTCCCAGGCCTGTGCCCTTCTTGCTTCTTATCCAAAGTGCTGAGTCTGACAGGGCTTCCTTGGAGGTCTGAAGACTATGAGGCCTTTTCAGCCTTACCAAAGGAGCTATAGGTAATTCTAGAGTATCCCAAGGAGAAGATCCCCACCAAAGCAGGCCAAGGCCGTTGCAATAGGCCTGCCCGGAGTCCCTCCAGCACAGTTCTTCTCCCATCTCTGCCTTTCCCCCTTTGTCACTGATCTGAGAAGGGCTGAGAGGCTCTGTATCACAGAGTGGACTTCCGTCACACAGCTGTGCCCCACATGTCTGACCTGTAGTCTACCTGTGAGGTGCCTCCATCCTCCCGGTCAGCCACCAAGCCTGGAAATCGCCATGTTCTCTGGGACTCTCATTCCCCACAGCTTGTCACCAAGAACTCTGAAACCCACCCTCTCCTCAAGTCCCCAGCAGCAGGTACCCTCTCTCTGCCTTGCCTCCAGAGTACCTTCCTTAAAAGGACAGAGGGAGAGGGGCCTGAAGTGGGAGGGGATATGAGAGAGGAAGGCTTTTGGTGACAGGTCTCCTGTGAGCTCTGTTCCTCGGTTTGGGGGATGTGGGTGTTGGCAGCTGCCCGTGGGATGAACTGGCTCTCACCGGCAGTGGTCCTCCATGACTCATCAGCCTGCACTGCTTCTGCCCCATGGCGGATGTCCTGCACATGCTCAGCCTGCCCATGGTCAGTCTCCAGCTTCGTGGTGCTACTGGTGGGAGACCTGAGCCACCTCCAGCTCCTCAGCCTCCTAGCTGAGAAAGTCCTGGCCTACCTGCTTCACCCTACTGCCATTACCTTGGTAGGATTCAGGGTGGAAGGACCTAGATTCCGATTCCTTGTTTTTGTTTGTTTTGTCTTATTTTATTTTAGTTTTTGGAGACTTTCTACACAGCCCTGGTTGTCCTGGAACTCACTATGTAGGGCAGGCTGATTTTGAACTCACAGAGATCCACCTGCCTCTGCCTTCCAA